CCCTATTTCAGCCTAACTCAAGCCATCTTAACTCACCTCAACCCACTTCACCTTAACTCACTTCACCTCATCTTATCTCAACTCAGTATAAACTCACCTCAACCCACCTCAACTCACCTAAGCTTGCCTCAGCTCACCTCACTTCACCTAAACTCAACTTACCATATGTAAACCAACATTTCAGCTCAGCGAAGGAAATCACAAAAAAATAATGATTTTTAAATTGACCAGCGAAACAGAGCCCAAATGAAATTTATTCCATGATTTGTGATTTGATCAATTTAAAATCACCGTGGCCAGTGCTAGTTATATTCTTATGTTATGTTAAGTTCAGTAGATGGGTACATACAACTATCAGGAAATTGATTATAAATATGCGCCTTTCAACCAAATTCACGGCAGTAAAACTTTCGCTCTTTTATTTGCATTAAAAATGGACAAGTATTCACAAATGAAGGACAAGAAAGTCAGGATTTAATTTTCGTACAAATTTCTTGGCTTTGCACCCTAATGTGCAAATGTACATGCCACAGTTTTTTGGTTTTTTACAGTTTTACCATCAAAAATGTTTATTTCTCGGAAATATAATTCTGATACGTGATTAAAAACCATATACATACGACTTTCTAAAATACGCGCATTTGCAGGTACATTCTCTCACAAAAAAGTATGTCTTATTTATGTACACATATGTACATGTATGTATGAATGCATTTAAAATTGCAATTTGATGGGTTAATATTTGTATGCCATTGTCAAGGTGAATTAAACAGCTCAATTTTTTTTAAGTAAACAACAAGAAAGTTCATTTATTGCGCTGCCAAGGCAAGAAATATTGCTAAGCCGTTTTTTTATCTTTTGTAGAGTGTGAATTCTGAACGAATTGTATTTACATATATTTTAGTTGTTGGTGTTTACGACCGGGTAGAATATGATATATGTGTAAGTTCACGGGGCTATGCATACATACATATATTAGTTGCGATCCAGATGCTTCACGATTTGCAGGTTTTACAGGATTTGCAGGAAAATCTGTGTTTTTTTAGTTTCTAACTCATTTTCGGCAAATTCACGAAATTGTTTTAGAATTTGTGCGATTTGACCAAACGAACTTTATATATAAATATGTACAAAACGTGGTGTTTTTGTGCAGCTGTGGAGCTGCCAACCAACTACTTCTGTACGAGTGGCCTTGTGCTACTGCCGACAGCAATTCAACACACAAACTAATTTTGTACACAAGTTATTATAAAAAAATACTTAAATGCACTTCTACGCAGAATTTGGCAACAATTTACTGTTTAAAACATTTCTAATGTATAATACTTATGGGTCATTCTAGCAAAGACGACACCACAAGTAAAAAAACATACATAGAGTTCGTTTAAATCTGTGAAAACAGCAAAGCAGATAGAATAATTCTTCATAAATCGATTTTGATCGATTTATTTTTCACAAATTTCTTTATTTTTGTCGTTATAAACGCATATCTTCGACATTCACAGCCGGATCTTAAAGTGTACCAGTGGGAAAATGTAATATATGGCAATCGAAAAAATAAACAGTAATACAACCCCCTTTACTTTAAAAAATGCATTTTTCCCCACGACAAAGTCCTAAGAATAGTTGGGCATTCAATTTTGCATTACCTACGTCGAGAAATTTATGTGATTTAATTTGCAATTTTTGGAACTTTTTGGAGACTTTTAGAATGCTGATAACATATTGAACCGTAATAGAATCTAAACGTCATAAGAAATATATTATTACATACTTTTCCCACTGGTGTGTTTTAATCGATTACTATGCCAGCTTTTGACCTACGAAAACAGTAAGTCAACGTCTGAAGACCTGTGCCAAACCCAAGATTAACTTGTGACAGTATTAGGCGTCATTCAACAAGACATTTCATTGCGTTTGAAAAGCATTGGTATGGTCCAGAAAGTCGGAAATTGGCTGCCCCATGAACACAAACCAAGAGATGTCGAACTCACTGTTTCACAAAAGCACATTCAACGGTACAAAGTGAAGTTGTTTTTTTGTTGTATTGTCACTGGCAATGAAAAATGGATTCCTTACGACCATCCAAAGCGCCAGAAGGCAGACAATACTAATGTTATTGACGCGAGCGATTGCGGAAAACGTTCGGAATGGGCAACCAGACATGAGTCATTGTTCTTCCACTATGACAATGCGCCGCAGCATGTCTCATATGTGGTAAAAACGTATATCGATGATACCGGATGGATGTTCTCACCCGCCTTATAGCCCAGACTTTGTAAAATCAGACTATCAGTAGTTCCGCACGACGCAGAACACTCTTACGGGAGTACACTTCACTTTAAGTGAAGGTATCAAAAATTGGTTTGATAGCGTCTTGGTCTACAAAGATGAGCAATTGTATTCGGCGGAGTCCTACATTGCCAGACAACACATTTGTCTAAAATTGAATGGGCTACAAAACTGCCGAAGTTGTATGGTATGTATGGGTCATCCCATTGCATTTTTGGGTTTTTTT